ATGGATCCTCCCTGCCCCATAAATCCCCCCATAAATCCCCTCATGGATCCTCCCTGCCCCATAAATCCCCCCATAAATCCCCTCATGGACCCTCCTTGCCCCATAAATCCCCCCATAAATCTCCCCATGGATCCTCCCTGCCCCATAAATCTCCCCATGGACCCTCCCTGCCCCATGGCAGCACCAGGAGGACCCTGAGGGAGGTAAGAGAGGGGTAAATTTATCCCCCACTTTCCCCTTCGAGTCACTCATTAACGAGGTTAATTAGTGAGGGATTAATGAGGGGCAAAGCCGCCCCTCCCCCAGCCTCGTCACTCATTAACGAGGGTTTTTTTTTAATGAGTAATTAATGGCTGAATGGTTTTTTGGGGCACGGTGGGGAAGGGGGTGTCCTCCCCTTGTTGCTCATTAACGAGGGTTGGTTAATTAATGAATAATTTAAAGTCACTCATTCATGTTTTTGTCATGCAGTCTCATAACTGATCAACAATGCAATGTTAATCGACATTTTAAAATTAATTAGTTTTATCAAAATGGGGAGTTGTGGGGAAGGTTATTGGGCAGGCGAGATCCCCTTGCTGCTCATTAATAAATTGTAAATTACTAAGTAATCATGTCAAGTCGTTAATCCACTGTTTTATCAATCCATTAATTAATTTTATTAAAATGGGGAGTTACGGGGCGGAATCTATGGGGGAAGTTATGGGGCAGAGGACGCCGTCCTCACCCCCCCCTTGTCGCTCATTAATGGATAATTAAGGGATAATTAATTAAGGATTTAAAGTAATTATTTTATTCAAATGGGGCAGGATTGTGGGGTGAACACAGAGGGGACAAAATGGAGGGAAGCCATGAGGGAACAGGGAGATGGGGCAGCCATGAGGGGAGAAAATGGCGGGAAAGTGAGGGAAGAAAATGGCGGGATCCCTGAGGGGAAAAAAAATGGAGGGAAGCCGTGAGGGGAGAAAATGGCGGGAAATTGTGAGGAGACAAAATGGTGGAAGCCATGAGGGAACAGGGAGATGGGGCAGCCATGAGGGGAGAAAATGGCGGCAAATTGTGAGGGGACACAGAGAAGGGAAGCCATGAGGGGAGAAAATGGAGGGAA